CCTTTTTGTGGTTTTTTAATTTGTTTTTAAGAATACACAGCATGAAGACATCATGATTTTAAAATGCAGTTCTGGAATGAAACTTCAAATTGAGAAGTTGGGTTTGTATAGCTTTTTTTTCTAATAGGTATTTAGCAGTTTTCTTGTCTAGTCAAAGATGTGTGTCAAGCTGCTGGTAAATTGTGAAAGCATGTGTTACAGGAGAATTTTTGTTGATAACTTTTTCTGTACTTAGAATATATACTTACGTAAAATATGATGGCAGGTGCTGGTGTTAAACGCTTAACACTAATGTAAGATAGCACCTTTAGCATGTGCCCTTCACGACCTGCAACATAAACAAGTCTGACAAAACAAAAGGCAATCTAGTTAGTGTGGCACCTAGGCTTCAAGTGGCATTTTTTTAACTATCATTCATTTTCAGATTTGTCTTATTGTGTGGCTACATTTGACTATAATTTTGTCAGTATTTCCTTTGATATGCAACGGGGCTTAAGGGATATTGTAGTTGACTGAAATAAGGGAAATAACCAGTAATAAAGCAGTGAACTTGAAACTAATTCTGAACCAGTATTGAAGTAGTGAACTTGAAACTAATTTCAGAATCATTAGTTTGCACACTTAATTTGCATTGAACAACTGATTGGAAGGAATAGCTTCTCTTTCCAATTTGTTGTCATTACTGGTGTAGTCACATTCTTACTGGCTTTTTTTAGTTGTGTAATTCTTAGCTTTACACTTGATGAGAGGTGAAAAAAACTTTTGTACTATACCTGCTTTGAATTAAGAATAAGAGACCTTTCTTCTAATTTTTCAAACTTGCATAGCCACTGCTTTTTGATAATTAATATAGCTAGATTTGCAGGTACTTTTAATTACATTTTGTACATTTGGATCAGAAGAATGTCTGTGTGTGTGTATGTAGATACATAACTATATATATAAATTGTTCCATCCTTCAAAAATTTTCATTGTAAGATCTTTAGAATGAAAGCTTACCTGCCTGCAGTAAAACAGGTCCCATTGGCAGATCCAATTGTAGAAAAGGCCACAAAGAGAGGAACTATCCAAGAGGCTGGATAAAGGACTCTATCTCCAAATGTCTGGGATATGGGATTAAAATGAATCATTTTTGTCATTTTAACTGCCATTTGGTATATTCAGTAATGTTGGAGTCTCTTTAAAAGTACAGTAGAAAGGGTATCTAAGGTACGTTACCAATAAAAACATATTTTGTGTAGTTATTAAAGAATGCTTTGCTAAATGAATACCCAGATTAATATATGAACCACTCTATAAAGAGTGGAATATTGCTGTGGTGTTTGAGATGCAATATCTGTAGGAAACATTGCGAGACATGTAAAAAAAAATACAGAAATTCTGTTAAAGGCACTTGGTTTGGACATGTGTCTGCAAAGCAAAAAGAGCATTGCAGCAGAGCACCAGCATACGCAACCTGGCTTCAACCTATATAGAAGGAAGAACACTAGTAGCGACAGCATAACAACCTAGGCCTTACGGGTGAAGAGGTAAAGGACAAACTTGGTAAGGCCTCTGACTACGCTTCAGTTCTTATGTGTGCGCTGGTATGTCAGTTGTTACCACAGGATGGATTAGATCTGTTGGAGGTATGTTGATCTGCAGTAAATGAATTTGAATTGAAACTTTTTTGACAGGTTTGGGGGTTTTAATTGGGAGGTGATTAACTTTTTTTAAAAAGAGAGTTCTGGGTTTGCGTAAGTGTAACATCAGTGTCATTTACTGGTCCAGTGGTAGGACAGTCATCGGTGCTAAGCAGGAAGTCTGCTTACATAGAACTCTGTGCAGCGCGCTCCTCCCTAGTGCTGATAGCTGTGCTGTCTCTGTACTGCTCAGTGGCCATTCTCAGATGATTTTGTTAATTTAGTCTGAGTTTAGTGCCAGCTGATGTGTGGTGTTCAAGATTGTAAGTTTAGTGGTATACTGAAGAGTACTAGTTCTTAAGATATAACTATATGTATTGCTGTATCTCTTGGTGCAAACAAGATGCTGAAATGCACTGAAGTTCTAAGTTTTTAAAAGATTATTTTTTTTACATTTTTAAGTATTTCTGCATTAGTGTTTTTTCTTCAGCATGTGCTACGCTGCATTTTGCATGCATATCACATACTGTTTGTTTTCCCAAAAAACTCACATTAGAAAAAATTGCATGACCTCTCAACAGTTGTTTGAGAGAGATGTCCCACAGAAAATGTACCGAGTGGAACTGAAGGGACAGATGTGTGTGGTAAGATTTTTTAGAAGTTTATTTAATCATTCATTTTTTCTGTAATATTATGTCTTTCAATAATGTAAAAAGGATATTTCTTAGCTTTGTTACAAAAATCAAGAATAACAAAGCGAATTATGGACTACTTGCTGTTATCTCCAGAACAACTAACTGATCTACTGTCATTTTGCATGTGCTTATTTCTTGGAAATACTGGAAACACTGAAAGGGGCAAAGCAGCAGTCAGATGTTATTTTTCCTTCCACCTTTTTGGTGCTTAATGAAAACAGTCAACCTCTGAGCTGCAGTGTTTACAAAACATTAACTGAAGACTGCATTACTATTGCTTCCTTCTTTTTTCTTTTTTTTTTCCTTGGGATATGACAGAACTATATGACATTACTGAAATAAACTTTAGATTAAGAAATGACAGTAGATAATGGAAAAAAGGTGACACTGACAACTTAGAAATTAATTGTATTTTAAGAAAAATTACGGGTTCCTTTTTGCTTGTGTTACTGCTGAAGGTACTTTAATGCACACAGCCTTCTTCAGATGCTCTATTACAAAATAAAGTGGCTTACCACAGCAACTGCCTGGGACTGCAGGAGTTCTGTTGAAGTCATTACGGTGAAATATGAAATGTTTATCAGAACGTAACAAACTGTAACCAAGGGGATTCCAATAATTATAGATAGCGGTAGATTTCTAAAGAATGCAAAAGTAAGACTCCATCAGCATTGCTGTATCACTGGTAGAGTTGTCATAGTAAACTGTGGATTCTTACTTTTCCCCATATATATGTTTTTAGGTGTATTTACATTTCTTTATTGTAGAGCCATGGAAATCAGGATTTTAATAAAGGAAAAATACAACTTTATGCAAATTTATGAAGTCTGTAATAGATGCTAATTAGCTCTTGTCTGTTAGTGCTCAAACCTTGAATAACCATTGCTTTTAAAGCCAAACTAAAAATACATGTCTGCTTCTACAAAAATATTAAGTGTTTGATTTCTGTCATTAGAAACACTGATTTCTGACATAGCATTACCTGTAAGGATTTTTAAGTTCTTCTGTGATGTAATTGAGTTGATTCCTGGAAGGAAAAACATTGATACAATGTTATTAGCAGTCGGGTCTTGAAATACTAATATATTATAGTCAGAGGTTATTGCTTGTGTTACTGGTTTTTTACTTTCTTTTCCTCCATTTTCTTTGCCTCCTCACAGTTTTAGAAATATATCAGATTTTGAAATGAGGTTGTCTTGATTCTTGGATACAATATCCCAGAATAATAAAAATGTGGCAGACATTTATCTCGGATTGACAAGATCGGCTTTGAACTTCAAGGTTTGCAATGTCTGAGTGTCTTCAAATAAAAGTGCAAGCATACCCATTGCAAGGACTGAAGCAAGTCTGCTAATGTTTCACAATTGTTCTGTGAGTCATATTGTCTAGAAAAGTAGCATAAAAACCTTTTTAAGGATTACACCTATCAGAATTATAACTTCCAAATACTCATTTTTGCTAGAGCACATAGGCCAGATTGAATCAAGATTTTTACTCATCCACTCCTGAAAATGTGAGGAGTTGGCATTTACAGTTCAACAGGCAATTTTTCCAATGTCTGTTCCTGGTGGTCACATACTGAAATAGTTGTTTAGGTACCAGCTTCTCTACCCCCTTAAAAAAAAAATCAAGGTGAGTGTCTGACTTAGCAGACTTACATGTCTGAGTTGAGACACTAAAGCTTGGAAATAGAACTTGAAAGTGTAATCCGTTTAAATATAAATTCAGTTCTAAGCATCTAAATGGGACTTGCTTTCTTGCAAGTTAATATTTATAATTATTAATTCCTTCCAAAATATGGATCTATATGCAAATGTTTACAGTTTGAACATTTAAGAATAGTATTAATGGATCAGACATTGATCTTAGATTTGTGCCAACAGAGCCCTAGACCAACTGACATTCCCTTTAGTTTCAGAAAATAAAATGTGTAAACTCTTTTCTGGACTGTGGTAGAGATTAAGTTAAATATTCCTGACAGCAAATAAGTTTATTCTTGTGCAAATAATTCTGGAAAGCACTCTTTTAGTATTAAATATAAATGCTGTATGTACAACATACGTGTAAACCTAAATCCATCCATGTTTGTGATTATTTTCAAATGTGTTTTCTTAAATCTAACATGGTAGATGATAATGGATAAACAGATACAGAGATTTAAAACTGAAGGCTTCTCATGGAAGATGACTTCAATGTCTTTACATTATTTCCAAATGAAACTGAGTAAGAAAAATTTGAAAGTTGAACCTTACAGATTCTGGCAGCGTGGGTTTTGTATTGGTTTATTATGTCCTCCTGTACATATCAAACACCACTACATATTTCATAAGAAAGGGGATTTGATGGAGTAATCTGTAGGGGCTCTAGGAAGGCTATTTTGCCTATCATTTCTTTCCCTTATAAATAGTAACTTGAGGATTGGAAAGGGGCTGGGGGGGCAGTTTGAGGTGGTTTGTTGGTTTTCTTTTTTTTTTTTGTCAATTTTTTTTTTTTTTTAACCAAACCGATGTTCTTTTTCCAGAATTCATTAAGAGATTCTTAATAACAAGTCAGATGTTAACTTTTTCAGATTATATCTTTGAGCTCTACAGGGAGAGAGTAAGCCAGTTAAAGCCTGTTAAACTGTACCTGTTAACACTAGTAAAGATACCTTACCATCCATCATACGCCCAGAGTCCATTATAAAATGCCAGACTGATAGAGCTAACAGAAACTTTACTGTCCTTGAAAGAATCTTTGAAGTTTTCAGTTTTTCCTGCAAATAAGATGTAGATTACTGATCAGTGTTGAAATTAATTCTTTTAATCCCCACCAGATAAAGAAACATTCCAACATCTGTTTCATCTTTGAAACATCTCACTGTTAATTCATACCAATTTTTATGAAGTGATCTGTAGCGTTGCATTTCCCACCCACCCCCCCTCTCTGAAAGAAAGTACGACAGTTCTTGGGAGACTTGGAACTAAACCACTGAATAGAGCGCGCCTTATTGTTGTGCCACTTCCGTCAGTGGGAAATTTTTAAATGGCCGTAGCAGAAGCTAAAGTAATTTTTGCAAGTAAAGTATGTTTAATTACCTTGTGCAAGGAGAACAATTCCACTTACAATAATGATTGTGACAATGATCATTTTAGCAGCTGTGAGAAAATTCTGGAGATAACTTCCCAGCTTCACACTCAGTGAATTCACTATTGTAATTACCACTAAAAGAAAAAAATCATATTTCTGCATTAAATTTGTCAGAACTGAAAAAAAGTTGCCTCTTAAAGCTTTTTCCCTCCCCCCTTATTTAGTGTACTGCTTTTTACTCCCACTGTTTGTATTATTCATATAGGTTGTTAACATACTCTTTGGATAACTCTTAATAGTGAGGAAAAAGTTTTCTGAATTAGATTTTGATAGTATCTTTAACAAAAAAAAAAAGTGAAGTTGCACAGCATTCTGATAAATACAGAAATAGTATCCCCGCACTTAATTTTTCTTCCTTTTCTGCTGGAGATAAGCCTTTGTTCCACAGCTGTATTTATCTTAGTAAAGCATAAAAGAAACAGACTAGGAACAACTAGGAACCATTTTTAAGCCTATCCTTTTTATATGTTGTTGAATTGGTTATTGTGGGAAGGACTTGCTGTGTGCTGTCCCCCAAACTCTTCTGTTGCTTTCAGCGTAGGGTCGCTTCTGATGTCTTTATTATTAACCTAATGAAGTCTTGCTGTGCTGAAATGCATTCGTTGATGGAGCTGAATGGAAATTGCTACACAACATGGATCTACTCCCTTAAAAAGGTATGAGTCTTACCAATGGCAGCTGCTGCAAGACACTTGATGACAACTGGGGGTGGATCGCAACCCGGATAAAAAGGAGCTGATGCGTATTCTGCAAAGCTGAGGCAAATGATTGCAAATGAACTGGGTTTTGTGACAAGTAAGCTTGTCCATGAAAATAAAAATGCTGGAATCGGGCCAAATGCCTCCATAAGGTAAGGATATTCTCCCCCGGATTTTGTGATCATTGTACCAAGCTCAGCAAAACAAAGTGCACCTGAATAACAAGAAAAGCACTTAGTGGTTGTTTAGTTCATGCACTTCTTAAAGTATGACTGGCTAGAACAGATTATCACTTTTTAGTAGGTAGCAAAGTGAAGGAAATAGATATATACAATGCATCATTACTCTCTTCATGTTCCTGTACATTTTACTGTATATCCAAAACAAGATTTTAATTGCTTGTGAGCAATTAGGAAAAAAAGAATATACTGCAACTATTAAGTTACAGTCCAGACTTTACTGCTATTGGTGTTTAAGACTTGAGCAAATAACGTACAAACATTCTGACCTCATATTAGATTTCTGTTTCAGAAACTAACACTATAAAAAGCATCTAATAACTGCACTGGGTGACCTACCTTTTGGAAACTTGGAAAAAAATAGACTCGCTGCACAATTTTGAAGTAAAATGTCTACTGAGCTCAGCTTAAAAGTACAGTTCTACTTCTAGATTTATTGTTGCAGCTGGCATCTGTGTAAAGTTTTTTGTATATACCGTGTACCTGATACAATGCCCAAAGAATTCCTTTTTGGCTTTCTACTTGAAATATTTTGAGGTGCTTAGTGCTAAATCTTCAGGTTATAGAATATTAGATTTACACAATTACACAAGTAAAAAAAATAGCAGATGCACGTAGCTCGCCACCATTAAATTTCATGTTTTGCCTGTGATTTAAGTAGAAAAGTATTCTCTATTACACTTAGTGGATGAAGTAAGTAAAACTAAAACTTGCTTTCAAAATGAACTGAAAACGTGCTTTACAATTTTTAAAACCTAATTTATCTTTTATAAACATTTTAATTGTTTTTTTGCCTGAGTACTGCTACGCTCATCTCAGGATATGATTGATTTTGGTCTAGATGCTATTAGCTCATTTTTGAACTGACAGTAGTACGAAGAAATAATAGATACAAAGATTTAAGCAAAGATTCAAATTCTTTGTTGACTCATTTACCTAATGTTGCGAGAATTCCACAGGCTGCCCAGATGGTTAAACAAGGACCCACAGCTCCAACGTTGGCAAGTACTGATTTTGGAGAAACAAAGATACCCGAGCCAATAATTGTACCAACAATCATACAGATTCCACTGATGAGGCCCACCTTGAAATAAAAGGAGACACTTTGGTAATTTCTAATAATTCAGGAGTTATTTTTTGGTATAATACGCTTGTTGTTACTAACTTTTTTCCCCACCTTTCAACATATAGCTTCTACTAAGTAACGTTAAACTATGTGAAGTTTCTCTTTTCTTTCCAAGATGCATACACACCCTGTGGCGTACTCCTCCTGTTTCCAAAGTAAGTTATTTGGAGTTTGCCTGTGTATTTGCTTTATTAAACTGTCCTTTGGATTATGTGGGTCTCAAATCTAACCTTGTACAGGTAAACATTTCCTTTCCATTCTTTGATTAACTTTAAAGTTATTTTATAAGCACTTGAGAAATTCTGAATTTTCTAAGCTTCAAAAATTTGCTTTCTTGGATGGAGTCTATGTATTTTTCTTTCAGTAGGTTTTGGGGTTTTTTTTCCTCTGCTTGCTTCAGGTATTTGTGCACAGGAATTATCTTGATACTGCTAGGTGGTGAAAGATCACCTTCTCCTGACTTTGTAGTAACCTGTGTGTTCCATGAAACTATTAAAACATGAGGCGCCTCCTGCTAGAAAAATAGTGGCATAGGCTACTTAAACTTTCCTGTTAGTTATGGCTAGTCTAATAACATCAATATTTTGCCAGTCTTGGCACCAAACTAAAACCACAAAGAGAATCTTTTTCTGTATTACTTAAAGAGGAATTCCACTCCCTCCTGAGAGCAAGTAGCACATCTATTTTCTAAAGCATCTGTAATTTTCTGGAGGAGACATTCACTTGTCCTTCTGAACCAGTGGCTATTTTATGGCCATAAACACTAACAAACTTTCAGAAGTGATGAGCTGAACAACCCACTTCAGCCTCTGTGAAGTACATTTGGAAAGAAACAGTAAAGTTTATGAAGTGTCTCACTTGATCAACTTTGAAGTTATCAGATATAAAAATAATTCAAAGACTTAATACATATCTCTTTAATTGTGTTTATATCAGAGCTATTTAATAATTAGCACTTTCCTAAAATGTAAACCAACCACACTCTCAAGGTATTACATCACTGCTGAATTGGGACACAAATGCATTTTTTTGTATGATAATGCATGTGCACAGGTACCCCCTTCCTGCCTCCCTCTGCCAGCCCTCATATGCACACAGACTGAAGGGGGAAAAGAAAAAGTTTTGCCTGTTTTTGTAGGTTCATCGTTTGGGGTTCATGACTCTGAATGGACTGTCCATCTTCTTTTCTGTTGTCCTCTCCTCTTCTTTTCCTCAAGGTTTCTTCACCCATTTGGTTTACTTGTTGAAATCTCTAGGGAAATAAAAACAAAATATCAGTCTAGCATATTCCTGTTTGCTTCAGTTTTGCTGATATGGGTCCAAAAAAGTGTAGTTAAATACTGCTAGAAAACATAAGTACACACACTTGCTCACAGGCAAAGGACTTCCACCTACTTCACCTCATCCATCTGACTTGCTGTGGATTTTCCTCATACCCACCTTGCAGTGAATCTCTTTGTATCTTCTGCCTCAGGTTACATTCAGTTGAGAGATGTTCTTACTGGAACAATCTAGGTTTTATAGCTAGTCCCTCCTTTGAATTCCTCCAGAGGTCCAGACAGATTTAGTCTTTCTCCCAAAAGCTAGTCTGTTATCTAGGAGACCTTCTTTCTGATCTTCGGTAAATTAGGCCTTGTCCCAATTTCTTGGAGATGCAAGTATCTGCTAAACCGAGTATTGTCTCCTGTAATTGTCTAATTAGCAGCTCTCTGCCTCAAAGAGTTATCAGTCTTCTCTGTGTTGCCTCAGGGTGAATGTCCTACTGAACACTTTGTTCTGTTTAGAATTAGAATGTGAACAGTTTATTTTCTAATTTAAATTTAGACTTGGGATTGGTTTTGTGAGGATCTTGCTTGTTTCCCATAGCACTGGGATAGAATACAACCTGAGGTAGTGAAGGAAATTGATCGGTCAGGCTAGGTCCTGATTCTTAAAAGCTGATTCAGTTAAAAGTCTCCTCTCTCCTCAGACATAATTACTAGAATCTGAATGTTGAAGATCATTTTGCAGTTACACAGACAGTAATTCAGGAGTGCGTCATGTTTAGGCAACTTAGCTAGTATCCAGTAATTCCTGGCTACAGAAACTGTAGCGTTTTAAAATGACAGATCAGCTATCTCAGTACTGCTGGTCTTCAGAAATATTTGTGCTATAAAGACATCCGGTTTATGTTTTGAATTAAAGATTTTTTTTAAAAGAAATCATTATGAATCCGACTTTGAAGATTAAACCTACAATAGAAAATTGCCCACAAAAGGAATGCAGGGCTTGGGTCACTGAATTTTTATTACAGCTTTGTGCCCAGCTTCTCTTTAAAGTCTTGTATTCAGAATGATTTAATCATCGTCTTTTAGCAATTCATACTTTCACTTACCTTATTTATTTATATTTGTTTGGTGTTAATCAGGCTCCAGGAATCTTTGTATAGTGTATTTCTATTTCTCCCGTTAGATTTACCAGCCAGTTAGACAGCAAGATATGTCCATGTCTGAAATCAGAATACGCAGAAGCAGCAGCAGCTTAAGTACAGAGGTTATAAAAGGTAATCATTAAACCCATTCTCAGCCAAGAAGCTTTGAGATAGGAACCACAGGTAAACCAATAGTCCAATTAGTTTATCTTTAAAAAAAAAAAAAAAAGTCTTTGTTCCATTCGTGAGAATGTTTGTCCAGTACCTAAGTAGTATATTACATAGTGAGAGTGAACCATAATTTAAAGAGTCTATTTTGATGATTTTATATCAAGCACTTTCTAATTTAAAAATACTTTGGAAAGGTAACCTTGAAGTAATTGTCATATTATCAGTGCATTAAAAACATCTGTCCAGATGTTAGCTGCATCCTATAAAAATATTTGATATTTTTTATTTTGAGAAGACAGAAGAGTGTGAGCAGAAATCTTTCCTTTGTTTTTCATTAACCTGAAGGCAGCTGAGCAGGCAGCTTGTGTTCCCTTCACTTGCAGTTCCAATTAATTTTTCATTTTTTGTAAATGTTTAAAAATCTTGCTTTAGTGAAAAATGCCATTCTCTATTTCTGCAGTTGGATATCCAGGAAAAAGGTATTGTTATGCTGAGTGCAGAAATAAGGTAGCTTCTTTCATTCAAAAAATCATCCCTAAATTATTTGCAAAAAACCCTTAATTGTGTTTCTCTTCATTGTTTTTGGCAATGCAGTCCTATGCCTCCTTTCTGTAAGACATCCAAACCAGTAAGTCCTGATCAACCTGCTCTGACTTCAGCTGACTCTTTTTCAATATACATCTACTGGTAAAAGCTGAAAGATGTACTGGTATTAGTCACTGACGTTAAGATTGTTATCTTGTTAAGATAATGCCTCATGAACAATAGTAGTACAGGATTGGAAATAAGGTCAAAGGGTTGGACCTAAGTATCAACAAAACTGTGTCCTGCCATGATTTGACAGTTGTTTTTCTTTTCTTTTCTTTTTTTCTTTTTTTTTTTTTTTAAAACCTTCTGTTTAAGCATGCAGGCTTGATCAACAGGAATTCCTGTCTTTTGTAATGTTGATGTAAATCTGTGACTAAAAATGTACTCTAACAAAATGTGAAGCAGACTTACATTGGTTTATATTTGCCATGTTTTGTGATGGTTGAGCCAGGCTGTGCTGTGAATGTCTTTCTCCAAGACCGAGATTGCAAAGTTACGTCAGTACTGAAAACAAAACCAAAGGTGTATTTTTTATTCTTTTTACACACTGTCTTACTCTTTTCTTTTTGTTTTTCTTGTTTAATTCTCACAGAAATAGGGTTAAGCTTCAAGAGAAGCTCTTCCATCTTAACTAACTTCTTATTCAAAAATTACCACCTGACCAATGGTCAGACAAAAGTTCTTCTTCCTACAGGTAAAAAGAATAAAGAGTGTTAAAATTATAGTCTTACTACAAGCACATGAAAAGCCAGATATCATCAACTTATTCTGCATCTTTTACAAGGACTTTAAAGTATTTTTCATGGTAATTGTGATGTAGGAATAAGTAAAATAATGTTTTTATATCCATCAATTGCAGATGCCTCATTCGGGATCAGCTATTATGTAATGCACTTCTATGTTCTCTATAGCTGATAATTTCAAAATTAAGATTTGTAATCTTATCATTCCTATGGTTTTCCTGAAATGCCACAGAGACTATTGAAATAGCTAATGTGAGGGAAAAAAAAAGTGTGTGTGTGGGAGAATTATATCATGGGGCTAACTTTGTCCCTCAAAACAAAGTAGACACACTTTTCACATCATCTCTACCCTGGAATTTCCAAACCAACTAAAAAAAAGGTGGGGGGGAGAAAACTTTGATGAAAAGATAATGGAGTGTGTCGTCTTTTATTCCATGTTAAGTAAAGTTTTGCTTAGGAATTTTTTTAGATTTAGTGTAGGTAATCTTTGAATTTTTTGTGCTGATGTATGTTCTGCATGTCCTGTGATGTTTTCAGCTGTCATTTGTGTCTGCATCAGATCTATACTCTATTTCCCCAGATACCATACAGGCAACGTTGAAAATATGTTGTTTGAGTTTTTGCCTAAGCCACCAGTTTCTTTAGCCAACTTGGAATGTGTATTTGGAGAGTTCCCATCTGTTCAATAGGTGTTTTAATCTCTGCCAGTGGCTTGACCTTAACTAGCCTGTGTTTCCTTATAAAAATGGAAAACTATCTTCATTTATTGTGTAGTTTTGGTTTAGGGGTTAATCTTCTTGGGATGCTATAAACTTGTTAAAGGATTTGCAGTTTTACCAGCAATCCTTCTTTTCCTCAGCCACTTAAGGAAAAAGTAAACATTGAGTTCAAGGATTCTACTGTTATTCTCTTCATGCACAAGAGAAATGGCACTTTTACAGCCATGGGAAAAGACTCCTTCCCTCTCAAATATATACATAGATGAAGAGATCAAGGAGTTCAAATTCCAAGGGGCTGCAGAAGCAAACTCTGTGGGCTGGTCCTGTCTAAACAGTGTAGTTTGAACCTTTTCAAATGCTATTTACCAATTAAATCGTAAAAAGTAATTTTCAACTTTAATTCGGGAAATAGCAAGGGCACAGCGTATAAATATACCTTTTATTATCATTAGTCACTAATAATAAAGGTTAATGTTTCTTAGAGTTGGTATTTATTGCTTGCAGTAATGCACATGTTCTGCTTTGATACTTAAGCAAATGGTAAGGATCATTCTAACCTGCAGATTTTACTTGTAGCTTAGCAGTATCTCAGAATGGGTACTTTCCATTCTAACCTTGCTACTTAAGTCACTTAATTTTAATTAGAGGACCCGTCTGTTTACTTGCACTTGCTCTTCTTTGAATCCTGTTACTAGCAGACGTGCTGTAAGAAGTGATCTCACTACTGTCATTCTTAAATGCATTTTAATGTTTTTCTGAGTAATTGCAGGCATGCTGCAAGCGGAATATAGGAAAACAGTCTTTTTTTTTTAATAGCTGTGTTGGTGCAGGGTTATGCTACTAGATTGCAAGATCTTTGCATCTTGTGGGAGTCAACAGGAAAGACCAGATGAGTATGTGGTTCTTAATGCCCATAGTATACATGTTTTTTTAAATACCTGCAGTTTTTCCCTACTTATTTCTTGGTTAGTGTAGTTGGCTTTGCCCCTGTGACAGATAAGGCTGTTGAAAAGATCTTCAGGTTTGCTAAAGGTTTTGCACTAGAACTGCCTGAATAGTGCACGGTTTTTAGTAAGACAAAGATTTTCTTTTTTTTTTTGTATTATGGTTTTTAAGCACAGCTGTTCAGAGACTCTTCATAAACTTGTAAATGCTAGGTATGTCATTCTGTCCAAAAAAATCACAAAAAATCAAGGAGTCTCTTCTCACGGTTATTCTAAAGGAACTTTGGCCTCTGAAGAAAATTAGCTTGACTAGATCAAGTTAGTTTTTTCAGAGTATTCAGCAGCCAAAGCTTTTAAGTGTTTCACAGCCTGCTTGGAATTAGTGATTTCCCTAATACACAGCCAGCTCCTCTCCTTTTTCTATTTAAGGAACGAGCACCTTGCTCCAATCTCCTGTTCAAGTCCAAAATTCAGGTTGCGTTCCACTGGTGTTTCATCAAGGAGGGATTACTGGCTAACATTGGCTTTGGCAGAGGGCATCTTTCACGTGCCCATTTCCAGCTGAGAAAGAAAGCAGGGAATACTGAAGCACTCCATAGAGCTTATGATGCTCTGTGCTACATACTTTTGAAGTCTTGGTTTAATTTTACATTTATCAAACCCAAACATTTGATATGTAAAACAACTTTTAAGTACTACAGTATGATATCTTCAGATATCATATCTGAATGTGTGTGCACATATAGATATGTTGAAGTTAATTCAGTACAGGAAAAAAATTCAGAGCTAAAAAAATCTGGAGAACTTAGAGAGAAACCATGTTTTAAAAGGTAAAGAAGCCTTGAAAGTGCATCTGCTCTTCTAGATTCAAGCTATAGAATTTTTACCACATTTATGTTGTATGTGCATAGTAGGATGAGTGCTGAGAGCTTTCCTAAAAGGAAGAGCTATGCCTGGTCAGCCACAGATTTGCAGTTGCAGAGGGAAAGTTCTTAGAACTCCTGATGTGTGTGCCAGTATAATGGCATGAATTTTTCATGGTGAAAAATCTTAGGAGGCTCTCTCTTCCAAGCTGTTGGAGAGCAATGTTCTGGCTAGAAAGAAAACAGCTATCTGGCTTAAAAATAGAGGAAGGGAAAAAGAAAACAGCTGGGTTTAAATGACTTCTAAATGGGTCAGAAATTCCTTTATATTGTAGATAAATTACAGCACCCTTTCTGGTAATCATTACAAAAACACACTGAAATATCTGTGTCTTCTGTCTTATCTCAATGATAAGCATTTCAGAGAATCCGTGACCAACTTCTATAGATGATACTTCTCTCAGCTGAAATTTTCTAATGGGCTAGAATGGCCCTCGGTTCACAGAACATTAGGGCATACTTATCTTAATGTGTCTGTTCAGGGTCAGAATCTCCCTGGTATTTACACAACAACTGAAGCACAGAGTAGGAGATGCTCCGCTCTGGCAACAGAGTAAGAAGTAATGCCGATGTATTTTAACAGTAGTTCGAATATGCATTGGAACTACCAAGGTTTCCTCCACACTCTCCAGTGGTTTGTTTTGGTTTTGGAAAGGTGGTGGCTTTTCCATTCATAATAATATTAATTAATCCAAATGTTTTTCTAGGGAAAATCATGTTCAGTTGCTATGGACAGAATATGCTTTGTAAATCCAGCAATGAAACTTTAATGTGACTACAGTTCCACAAATTCTGAATTGTTTTCCTAGTTTACTGATAGGAGCTGAACAACGCTCTGTGTTTGTATGTTGTTTTGTGAAAGGAAGCTGAAACTACTTCATTGGTTCCGTTTCCAGCTAGAAGATCCTATAAACGGAAGGAAGGTGCAGCATATCAGGATCAGTATACTCTGTCAGCAGCGCTTGAGGTCAGACAGTAAGTTGCTAATATC